GATGTTATGTGATAAATATAACTTTACATTCGCGTCCATGCCATAATAGATGTTATGTGATGAATAAAACTTTACATCCGAGTCCATGTCATAGTGGATGTCATGTGATAAATATAATCTTACATTCGCGTCCATGTCATTATGGATGTTATTTGATAAATAGAATCTTACATTCGCGTCCATGTCATTATGGATGTTATTTGATAAATAGAATCTTACATTCGCGTCCATGTCATAGTGGATGTTATGCGATAAATAGAATCTTGCATTCGCGTCCATGTCATAGTGGATGTTATGTGATAAATAGAATCTTGCATTCGAGTCCAAGTCATTATGGATGTTATGTGATAAATAGAACTTTACATTCGCGTCCATGTCATAGTGGATGTTATGTGATAAATAGAATCTTACATTCGCGTCCATGTCATAGTGGATGTTATGTGATAAATAGAATCTTACATTCGAGTCCATGTCATAGTGGATGTTATGTGATAAATATAATCTTACATTCGCGTCCATGTCATTATGGATGTTATGTGATAAATATATAATTTTACATTCGAGTCAATGTCATTATGGATGTTATGTGATAAATAGAACTTTACATTCGCGTCCATGTAATAATGGATGTTATGTGATAAATAGAATCTTCCATTCGCGTCCATGTCATAGTGGATGTTATGTGATAAATAGAATCTTATATTCGCGTCTATGTCATAGTGGATGTCATGTGATAAATAGAACTTGACATTCGCGTCCATGTCATAGTGGATGTCATGTGATAAATAGAATCTGACATTGGCGTTCATGTCATAGTGGATGTCATGTGATAAATAGAATCTTACATTAGCGTCCATGTCATAGTGGATGTCATGTGATAAATAGAACTTGACATTCGCGTCCATGTCATAGGGAATGTCATGTGATAAATAGAATCTTACATTCGCGTCCATGTCATACTGAATTGATTAAACTCGTTCAATTAATGAAACGCCTATAAAAGGTCGTGTCAAATCAAATCATTGAACACCGTTAATACATTCAATGTGACATGGACACGAATGTAAGATTCTTTATTTCGAAAATGTCTATCTCTATTAAGTAATAGCATGACTTATCGTTACGCCAATAGCTTGGGGTATTTCACGTATACGGTCATAATTAATTAGCTCCAAAACTAATCAACTGCAGTTTCTCGTCCTTTGTGGTCTGTTCTTCTGAAAGTTGACCGCTTTTAATTTCGAATATTGGGTAAGAAGAAAAGGGATGGGGAGAGAAGGGGAGGAACAAACGTTTCCCTGTTTTAAGTAAATACGAAAGATCGCACTGGGACACGTAATCATTTAACCCTTTCATCCCTATGAATCTTAAGTAGACTCTACCAAACATTCATCGGGATGAGTCCATTATGGTCTAGAATGTTGAAAGGGTTAAGGTAAATATTTTATAGGTACAGTATCTGACAGAGCGAAACTGTTACGTATTACAGTAGACAGTCGACCATGTTTCCACTGTTTACAGGCCTTAAGAAGGTATTCCATGATTCCATGTCATTCCTTCTTAATTCATAAATACATTTTATATGGCGGGTAGTCAGAAGCCAGCAAAATGAAATGATTCCCATTTATGTTGCTCAAAAGTATAAAAGTCGTCGAATACCATGACAAAAGATTAAGGCTGTAAGCCTTTTTATGAAGTCATATCATTTAACAAATATTCAAAATGATTATATTGCAGAATATAAAGCAAATAACGTGAGCGGTGACGTAGCCGTCACTGTAAGCTAACAGCTTAATTAGCTAGAGGTCCGGGGATCGAATCAACATGACGGAGATTGTTTTGATTTTTTGGTGAAAAACGAAATTATGATAAAAGTAGATCGTACATGATGTGTTGTATATGATGTTCAAATAACTGTGTAGCCAATGGGCAAGCAAGTTCTTGCCAAACACACACAAAATTATATATGAATAAATATTGAAATAAGTAAACAGTTGAAATTCTCCTTCATTAGAGATACATCACATAGTCCTCAGACTCTCTGCCTCAAAACACTAATAACAACCATTTTACGCCATTTATTCTTACAGATAAGCAGTAAAATTTGTCACTCTATAGAATAAACGAATGTCTTCCTTACCAGGGATTTAATCCTAGTGCAATTTTCACAAATTTCAAATTCAAATTCCATTACGGGTGGAATATTTTCATTTTTTTTTCTTAGCTAAAGCATCGTATAAGAAGTGTCCTTACCTGCTTCTACGAGCTGAATGAGGTACCATACAATTCCTACGGTGAGGAGGATCAAACGCCATACCCTCGCCAACATGCTTGTCACTCGGAAACTCCTTCCTTAATTGTATTATCCTCATTTACCATGTCTTGCAGAATCGAAATAATAAATTTCCAAAAGAAATAAATATCCACCTATTAGATATTCCTTAATCCAAGACAGGAACAAATCAGGCTTTCAAGTAGCACAAATTGCTTTGTGGATGTGAGCACACCCGTCAATTGCTGGTGTAGCGAAAGCTTGTCAAAAGGTTTTGGTTAAAGCTCCCAGGAGACTCAGAGTAGGATGCTTAAAGTCCGTACATGGTTTCGTCTCGTTGTCAATAAGCACAGTAACAAACCACCCAGGAGACCCAGATCTCAATCATTATTGTCACAGACGCTTGTAATCTTTGAGCAAACGAGGTCGCTCTCTGTCGAACATTCAAAATAAATCATGGAATCGCCAACTGGAGAGTTGAAACAGAAAAAAATGATCCGAAATTTAGTTTGCAATTGTTTTCACATATTCTACAGAAGATCTGTAATTAAATATCTGGAACTTAACGTAATTGTACACAAAATACTTGGAAATTTGAAGTTGACTACAAGTTTGATAAACCGATATAATTCAACGGCACAACAGGTTCCTTTTATATGCTCATAGCGCCAATCAGAACACTTGTTTTAAAACAAATATAAACTGAAATCATGCGGTAACGAATTCGTTATGCATTAACGAGATTTGCTTGTCAAGTACATTACGGAAAAGGAATAAAATCACTATGGTAACGCATTAAAGTCCTGATAAAGTCTTGTATGAATCACAAAATAATATGTATTTTAACTTCTGCTTGTCAAAATTTTGAATTCCATGTTTTTCCGCTTTTCAAATCAAATTTTACAAAAAAGGCCTCACTAAAATGAAAGATTCGAAACGTTGGGAATCAAACATAATTAACAATTATATCTGTCATTCAAAACTTTAAAAGACTAAACATGGCATATACTGTGTTCCAAATCGGAAGCATTCCGGGAGAATTGAAGAGAAAATTCTTTGAATAAATCCATAAAAATGTTGAGATTAACCTTCGCTATTCAACACGTCAAATAACAGCGCTGCAGCACGGGTGTGTGGTGGGCACGAGGAAGCCGTCCTTACATCGTCAACATATCTGCACCCTTACTCTCAACACGTCCACGTTCAGGAGTATCGAGCGAGACAGTGTCCAACTCGCCCGAACTATAGCTAACAACATTGCGCGGCGCTTACTGAATAAGGGTTCTGCCAAACTACGCCCAATAATCTGCCGAACTCCAGGCCCAGTAATCTGCCGAACTGCTTTTCAGATTGCTGCTAAGTATACACGCTATTAGAGATTTATCTACTCGTCTACATGTAGGTAATACAAGAATGTGTGTCGTACCTCTGACGGTGTACTTTTCTACTTGTATACCTGTAGGTAAAATAGGGCTGTGTGTCGTACCTCTGACGAAGTACTGGTCTACTCGTCTTCCTGTAGGTAATACAAGGCTTTGTGTCGTACATCTGGTGTAGTACTCGTCTACTCGTATAGCTGTAGGTAATACAAGCCTGTGTGTCGTACCTTTGACGTAGTACTCGTATACCTGTAGGTAATACAAGGCTGTTTGTCGTACCTCTAACGCAGTACTCGTATACCTGTAGGTAATACAACGCTGTGTGTCGTACCTCTAACGCAGTACTCGTATATCTGTAGGTAATACAACGCTGTGTGTCGTACCTCTGGTGTAGTACTCGTATACCTGTAGGTAATACAAGGCTTTGTGTCGTACCTCTGACGTAGTACCCGTCTATTCGTATACCTGTAGGTAATACAAGGCTGTGTGTCGTACCTTTGACGTAGTACTCGTCTACTCGTATACCTGTAGGTAATACAAGGCTGTGTGTCGTACCTTTGACGTAGTACTCGTCTACTCGTATACCTGTAGGTAATACAAGGCTGTGTGTCGTACCTCTGACGTAGTTATACATATAGGTAATACAAGGCTGTGTGTCGTACCTCAGACGTAGTTATACATATAGGTAATACAAGGCTGTGTGTCTTACTTCTGACGTAGTTATACATATAGGTAATACAAGGCTGTGTGTCGTACCTCTGACGTAGTTATACATAAGGGTAATACAAGGCTGTGTCGTACCTTTGACGTAGTACTCGTCTACTCGTATACATGTAGGTAATACAAGGCTGTGTGTCTTACCTCTGACGTAGTTATACATATAGGTTATACAAGGCTGTGTGTCGTACCTCAGACGTAGTTATACATATAGGTAATACAAGGCTGTGTGTCGTACCTCTGACGTAGTACTCGTCTACTCGTATACATGTAGGTAATACAAGGCTGTGTGTCTTACCTCTGACGTAGTTATACATATCGGTTATACAAGGCTGTGTGTCGTACCTCTGACGTAGTTATACGTATAGGTAAGACAGGGCTGTATGTCGTACCTCTGGTGTAGTACTCGTCTACTCGTATACCTGTAGGTAATACAGGGATGTGTGTAAATCAGGTTAAGACTAACTATCGTCTTTAAATTAAGGTACACATTTCTTTTTTGTATTCAAATTAAGTTAAGACTTTCTGGAACATTGAGTCGGTCACGAACATTCCTAAGTTCACATGAAGATATTAGGTAAAGTTCCCCATCTAAAAAAAGAATTTTAAAGAAAAGACAGAAAAGATAAAAAAAAAGTATGAAAATATTTATTGTTAAATATTAAAAATGAAAAAAATGTCTGTCACACTGCCATTTCGCAGGCTGATGTTAGCACTAATCAAGTTCACTGAGCACTAAAAATATATTTTGCCGAAGTTCACTACACAATTGTCTCCCTCGGCGTGTTTAAAGTACATCCCTGTGTTGACGTCACAATAACGCGTGGTCCTGGTTTTTGAGAATTCGATTTAGATGCAATCTGGAAATCAAAAAATATACATTAATTCTCAATGATTAAATGTCATGCAGTCCTGAACAATTCAGGGTTCATGTGGCTTAAAGGCGAAATTCATTTCCATTCTAAAAAAATCCGCGTTAAAAACATATATTATGATTGAAAATGTTTGATTGATGACACAATCGAAATGTACGAAATAATTGATGATGCATTTGAAAGGTACACAAGACTTGATGACACAATTGAAATGTACGAAATAATTGATGATGTATTTGAAAGGAACACAAGAGTTGATGACACATTTGAAATGTACGAAAATAATTGATGGTGTTTTTAAGAGGTACACAAGAGTTGATGACACATTTGAAATGTACGAAAAAAAATGATGATGTATTTAACAGGTACACAAGAGTTGATGACACATTTTAAATGTACGAAAGAATGGAAGATGAATTTTGCATTTGAGAGAAGGCAAGCGTATAATGTGTGAGGTTGTATATATTTAAATGTCTTACCATTGTTGATATGCTGTTAAACAGTTTTCGGTTGTGCATGTGTTGACTTGATGACGTCACAACGTGACTTAGGTCAGTACCGGCTTCGATACATCGATCTACGAAATCCCAGCATGCCATTCTCAGATCCTTCAGTCCAAACTCTTCCGCTCCACAGATCAACTCTAAAAATAAGAAATATGAATATGTTTAAAAAGGTACACTGACAATAGAAAACGATAAAAACATTTTAAATGAAGCAGTTGTGGTTTTATCAGTTTTTCGAAAATATGTTTTAAATATAATTTTGACTGTCAGTTTCTGATGGCAGTGAGACACCCCCGGGAACTCTCTAATTCACATCGATTAGATTGTTATGATTATAGCTACTTCTCTGCTTTCAAAAACAAATAACTGAACACTGGATGAGCTGTTAAGGATGGTCGGGAAAAACCATATGTACAGAGTGGTGGGAATGCTTGAACTTGATTGCTAAATAACAATAAATGTAAGGCATCATATGACGGATACACATTCATTTTAAGGCAGTATGTTACCTTACTGAAATAGGTATAATATACACGTAACTTCATTCCCAAAGAGTTCTTCACTCAGATTTAACAAATATATTTATTTTTCTTCGTATTTTTTCATTAATGGATGATGACGTTGAAGAAAATATTGATTTTAATCCGGTAGCTTTGGCTTATTATAAACAGAAGGAGGATAATTTTAACAACAAAATGTAAGGCACCTTATACCCTTAACTCTATCCGATACACGAACACCATTGTTAGTTTGTTTCTGAAGCATTTTAAAGCCATTATTACACACCAATAACAGACGAGGAGTCCACATTGACCGATCCACTGTGAACAAACTGGATTATCTTTCGGAACACATCGGCTTCGTACGTATTGACGTCGATTGTAAGTCTTGTTGGTGCTAATGTTTTCTCCGCTTTCTGTTTTCTCATCTTCATGTTTTTTGATGTCGTGTTCTGTATTTTTTCCAGCTCCTTTTCTGCCTTCAGGATCATACCGTATAATACTCTGTTAAAGAGGAAGTAGTTAATATAAGTACATCAAATGTAAACAGTTTTTGTGGTAGTGTTATTTTCGTCGTTTTGGCGGTACTATTCACCCGAAAATCTCATAAAGACATGAAACATTTTCTAACAAAAAGAGGGAATATTTCAGAAAAAGAATACATCACTGTGTAAATTCAAGTTTTAAGATAACGCGATAATTTCACCATAATTTTTTTCAAATTCTCATTTTTTTATTATTCTATTTTTCGTGCTTTTTTTCTCCCAATACCTAATCAATCGAACATTATACTTGATTATAAAATACTTGGAGTGTGTTAGTGAAAATAATTCTACAACAATTAAACTCCGATTTGTTGGTTAATGAGTGTTTGTCTCCTAGCATTACAAACCAGTACTGGTTTAATTTGGATCTATTAAGTGATTGTTTGTTTTTCATGTTTTGATACCGAATTATATCATTATAGCTCTCGGGGGATACACGCAGGTTGTATCGGAGAGGTAATACTGTTTTTGCTTCGGGATGAAAAGACAAATTTATCACTTCCCATTCCTTCCATAAACTGACTTATAATACTTTTGTAATTTTCGAACACTCCAAGCATGAAACTTGGTAGAATGGAGTTTATAAACTAAAAAAGGAGAATAAAAGGGAGATAATACAGTGATACTTAGCAAAATATAATTTTAATTCTAATATGTATCTATATGAAAACTTACCTGCTACGGGTTCCCAGAATGGCCTTGACCCCGTGGACGGGTGTTTTCTGAGGCCCCACGTGGAATGTGACATCACAAAGTTCAGGCATGGAAAGGATGTACTTCAGACTGTCACAGAGGTTATCGGTACTGGTGAATCTCATGACGTCATCCTCGTCATCTCCAAACTCACTGTCACTGTCATCGTCTGAATCTGATTCATCCGGGTCCCTAAATGAGTCAGAGTCGGTGTCAGTGTCCGAGAATAGGGCAGGATTGTTGAACATTTGCTCAACTTCTGGCTCCGTGGCAAGTTTGGAGGAACGGGAATGGTTGGTTGTGAAAATCCTAACTTGCGGTTCTGCGTCCGAGTCGTAAACATCTCCAGAATCGTAACCAGACGATATTCCTGTGATAAAAAGATAAAACATGATATTAGCATGCCGACTAGTTGTATTTGAAATAGGGAAACCACTTGAAGTATTTCTATGGAATTATAAAACAGACCCCTCCCCCCTTCAAAATGCAAGCTATACAAATATTAATAAGTTTTATTTGATTCAGAAACGTGGTATAAAAATGAGACTTAGTCATTTGCTGTATCTGTTAGAACCGTCGCACACGTCACAAGATTTTTTATGTAAAAACATAAGATAAACAAAATAATTTGTGATTGCATGCATACCGGCATTTCAGTATTTAGTATCTTTAAGGGGAGATTATTCTCTCAAACTGGAGAGACAAGTTACGTATATGATAATGAAAGCAGTCAAACTTTGCCTGAAAAATCGAGAAAAAATATAATATAGAAATTGACTTACCTCCATCGGAATCTCCGAAACAAGCCTGGAGTTCATCGTTGTCCAAAAGTCGAGCTGATGACGTATCACAGATACCTGAAAATGCCATTGTTTCTCTAGAATGTACGGTAAAGTGGGTAATCTCTGTAAGTCAAGCGAGTGATTTGTCGTCTTACCGTTACCATGTGGTTTATATACATCGTATAGATTGCTGTGACACTTCTCTGCATATTACTTGGATCCCTCTCCAAAAATGTCAGAAAGCGTCAAAACTAAAATGTCAGAAAGCGTCAAACTTGAAATGCCCAAATCATGAGGACATTTTGCTGTCGTTGACACTCTCAGTATACCAGGCATACGTACTGACCAATTATGACGTCACTCCAGATCCAGGTGAGCTGTTTTCAGAGGTGTTACCTTACCTGTGAGACAGGAGCCACCTTCATTTGGGCGTGACACATGATTGTTTCATTTCACTATAGTGACGTCACGGTCACTCTGTCGTACCTGCAGTGAGTGACCTCTACGTATACGGTGACCCTGACGCGAGAGTGTAAAGAGTATGCGATCAATTTCATAAATTGAAAATTAACGATTTATTTTACTGTTAGGGAAGAGGAGGAAGAGAATTAACAAATGGTACAAAATGTGTTTTTTTAAATTCTGCTGAAAGAATGTCAATGCGGCATTAGATTCACAAATAGTTACCTCAGGTCCAGTCGGGATGGAGTTGCTTGTTTTGGCCCAGTTGTTCAAAAGATGATTAGCTTAATTATTGTTTAACGACATTTTTCAACTTGTATTAATTTCGTCAATATACAAGGTAAAAACTTGTAATTTTACACGTAATTTTACCGTACTAAGTATTTGATATCTGGAAAGTTTAACCTCAGTTAATAGCTGTGTTTTAAAGATACACAAAAAATTTGCGATAATTACTGATTTAGCTAATCACCCTTTGAACAACTGGGCCCACGTTATAGAGCGGTTGTCCCAATTATTTTTTATCATCATTTGTTTACCAAGTGAGATTATTTTATGTGACATATCGACCAACGGTACGGTTATATACACTGTAGGTATTCGATGTTCTATTTTGTAACCATAATGACAACATCTATTAATGATATTCTATATGATTGCAGCATCTTATTGGTATTTTAATTCCATACATTCTAAAACATTTTTTTTTTGATAAATCTTGACAAATTTTGTTAATTGGTTTTGGTATCATATTAGTGTGTATTCTGTCATTTTTTTTCTTGACTATTTTCGCATTGTCTGTCACTTCATAGTGTTTTGATCCTAAGTCCTTTTTAATTCTTGTGTGATATGCAAATATTCATTCACTATTAACTATGTCTTTTATTTACTTATTTGGAATACTACTTATCTGTGATATCTTTTAATGCTTTTCATAAACTAACACTATTTTTTTTATATATTTATTGTTTCAAATTGGTCATATCCCGTTGGCCTTTGTAGGTAGGGGACTCCCAATCACTGATAATTTGATATTAAAAACTTGTTATGATGAATGTGTCAACGTGAATGATCCGTGGATTTGTAACATTAAAAATGAATTAACTGCCCTAGGTCTGGGTTATATTTTTGAATCGAATCTACCATTGGTAAACACTTTTGAAATTATTGAACACAGATTGAAAGATGTTACTAAGCAAAATATGTTGGCAAAGATAGCAGCTTCATCAAAAGGTAGACTATATCAATATCTTATAGACAGTCATAGTATTCAGTTTTATCTCCGTAAATATATTGAAACAAAATACAAATATATGTTAACTAAATTTAGAACGTCGTCTCATCAACTGAATATCGAAAAGGGTAGACACAATAATATCATTCGCAGAAATAGAAACTGTAGCAAATGTGATTTGGGAGACGTCGAGGACGAATTTCATTTCATTTTTGTATGTCCTTTTTATAATGATTTGAGGTTAAAGTATATAAAGAAGTATTATTATAAGAGTCCCTCTGTTTACAAACTTGTCCAACTTTTATCTGTAAATAATGTCAAAGAGTTGTCAAATCTAGGTAAATATTTATATCTAGCCACTAAGCGGCGAAATTGATTAATTAGCTACACGTATTTATAATTTTTGTGCTTTTGTATTATGTTCTTTGTTTAGTTTGCACTTGTATGCTTATAGTCACTCTCCTATAACATATATACATGTACAAT